CACACACATGCACACATACATGTACACACTCCTGCAATTACTTTGATGCAAATCACAAAAACACAAAAATCATTGGAGCAGATGAAAAGTCACCGGCCCCATCCTCAAATGCATTCATGAGCAATTTCATTTGACAGTTTCCAGCATACTCTCAGCCATTCATCTCAAACCCTTATTTCCTCTTGTCTGCCTGAGGACTACCTTCTCCTTGAAACTTGCTTGAATTCAAGAAAGGACAATTTACAGGTTTTAGAGAGTTAATGTCTCTCCTTTAGACAGTGCTAAAACCATTGAGAAAGAAGTGGTCAATGAATAAGAACAAGACCCCCATTCCTTTGTAGGCTGGTCCTGAAGGCATTTCTACATAGTTTCCCAAAGGGGCCACTTAAGTGACAATAGCCTACAGCAGCAATTTCATTAACACAAACTTTTCTGCTTCGCTTTCCCTCTTTTCTTACTTGCAAATTCTAGATCACCACTTCCATATTTTACGTGTTCCCAAGTTCTCATCTCTAAGTCTGTGTTTAGGATTACTCGAACTTGGCGTAGTAGAAAAAGGCAAATATAGTTTGTTCATTTCAGTTACCTCTATTGTGAAATAATCATTGTTAGAGATAGAAAATCTGGCTAAATTGAACTCTGACAGACTGTAAAATTACCTTCATGTACTTACTGATTTCCCCCCCTCAGGTTTCACAAGAAATAATCTACAAATAAAAATTAAAAACATTTACAGTGTATAATAGCATATTTGGATACATATAGATGTTGTGAAATGATTAAATCAAGCTAATTAATATATTCATTACCTCACATACTTCTCCCTTATTAGTGATGAGAACATTTTAAAATCCACTTTTCTTTTTTAGTAATTTCCATGTATAAAATCAATTATTATTAACTATTGTACAACATGGTGACCATACTTAATAATGTATTGACTGATTTTCAATTTGACTATTTTTCATACATAAATCAGTCATCTCATGACAAATGAGACTTTATTACAACTATCTAATGAAAATATTTAAGAATATTGCACATTTATTCATAGTAATATAGGATAGAACATAATACTATAATAATAAAAATAATCTTAGTAATTTTGCTTATCAATGTTATAACTTTTATTTTCTCGTCTGAAGTATTTCTGCTTGGCTCAAATTGCAGTTACTTAACTACTGTCGATGAATTCTGTTCCAAGTAAGTTTTATTTGTCTTTAGTTTCTCTCTTCTTGTCATAAAGAATAAAGCACTTTCCTAGGAAGAAATCTAACAGAAGTGATTCACGCTGCTACCTGCCTTAAAATAAATTTGTCTTTATATTCCTTTAAATTAGCTTGAAATATTTATTCTACCCATAATACACAATCACTTACAGAACATGAGAGTGAGACTTTGCATTCAGGGTTGCCTACAGCCCAGCTTATTTTGAGTAATTGTAAATAGTAATACCCATACTTTTTTTTTAATTGGCTAATGTTGTAAGGTGGCATCTGTCATCAGCATCCTCATATAAACTCACCAGTGCCACAGCATCTGTTCTATCACACAATGTTCTATTTCTGTGTCTCACACATTTAACTAGCAAAGAACAAATAGACTATTTTAAAATAAGCTGCCAATGTTTCTAAATGAGAACACAAAGTATATTTGCCAGAAAGGTATGTGACAGAACAGGAATAAACTATGACTTTCAACTTAAAGAAATATAATAAACACATCAGTTATTTCATTTATATTTAAATATTAAGATTGGACAATTACATAATTGGAAAAGAGTTGTTGGATTAAAAGTACTCTACTTTTAAAATCACTTTTTCTAATACATGAACACAGTTTTCATTTTGTATTTGAAATCTAATTGATATGTAGCATAAAAGTATGATAAATATATTTGAAAGTTGGTAGATTTACTCTAGTTAATGTTCTGTGCCAAAAACTTCTCCAGGAATATAATGAATTAGAATTATAATGTGAATTCAGCCATCCATCCATTCATTCATTCAATAAATATTGATTAATCACACTATGCACCAGGACATAGTGATAAAATAACTTAAAAAGTTGTTATAAAAGTACCTGGTTTCATAAAGCTTATTCCAGAGGAAGAAGGCAGGGGAGAGTAAATAAATGCATAAAACGTTTAAAACAGATAGGTGACATAACTGCTGTGAAGAGAAAGAAAAAAGGCACTGGCAGAGGATGCTAGCAAAAGAGTGTACTTCCTTAGAAAAGTGATCTAGAAATGGCTTCTGATTAAGTTGAAAATACCTCTTGAAGTTAATAATTGAAATCAAAGATTAAGAAAACATATAAATAGTCACTTTTTCCTTTTAAAGGAGCTGAATAGAAAGTATCTTGAATCGATAAAATATAGTAATACACTTTAGGAAAAACCAATTAAAGAAGCCACAACAAAGAAAACATCACAAAGAACATAATCTACACACACATTTTTCAGCTTCATCTGCAATCCAAAGAACTTCACACACTGAGGCATGGGGGGTGAGGACTTAAGAAGGGAGGAATAGCAGAGGGTGGGGGAATTGGGGAGGGATAACATTAGGAAAAATACCTAACGTAGATGATGGGCGGATGGATAAAGCACACCACCACCATGGCACATGCATATGTAGGTAACAAACCTGCATGATCTACACATGTACCCCAGAACCTAAAGTATAATAATAATAATAATAATAACAAAAGAATAGCAATTTTTTATAAGTATGCAAGTAATCTCAAACAGGCCAGTCCCTAAGAGGCCTCACAATTGTGTATCAGTGTAAACATTATATTTTGATGCAAATCCTATACATAGCTTATCTGACAGTGGAGAAAAGATTGCTTTTTCATTTTAGAAAAAATGCAGCATAAATTATTACCATTATGTAAATTATTCTTCTTCCTGCTTTACAACTATTGAGAACATTTTGCATGAGCAAAAAATATGTCAAAATATAAAGAAGGACACCCAAAGGTGGCAGCATTTTGTGGCACATGGTGTGTCACTCAATGAAATAAATGACATGATAAAATTCATTTTAGTCATTTATTTATTCAATTAATTTAGTCAAACAGTATTCACTTCAGACTAAGGAGAATTGCTTAAAAAGAGAGATTTATTATTTTTACTGCTGTCCACCAAGCATAAAACATACTATTATTTAACTATGTGTATATTATTTTTAAAAGTCTAGAAAATAGTACTTCTGTGTAGAACACATATCATGTAGGAAGTCATGTTACATTTAAAGCAAGATTTTAAATGATACTACATTAAACTATGTAGAATTTATTTTCTGAACAAAAAAATCAATAGGTAAGAAAGTCAATGGAACTATTTGAGTAAATGCAACCTCCTACTATAATATTAACATACAATCTGTCCTTTTAAAATATTTACAATCTCGTTATAACAATACCAAATATTAAAATATGGGTGAAACACTACAGAGGTAATAATTAGGTATTCTATTTAAGAATGAATCTACAAACTGGTGGTGGGTGCATATTGTTATGGTAGTCATAATCAGGAGTAAAAATACATGGATTCTTACTTTGCCACAGCAATGTTATAACAGGGTAGGGTAATTTTAAGACTCACTATCTAGATGTTTAAAAAATCTAATATGTGAAGGAGAAATCAGGAAGGAGGGAGAGAGAGAAAGAGACTCAAATGAGGTACAAAATAGGAAAAACATCTGAAACTCTTTTGGTTTTAATTTTCATCATAACTAACATAGGTTTTTTAGAAGGGTGGGCTTATTAATGCATTCATCTCTTTATTAAACAGATTTTTACTGAGCCCCAACTACAGGGCAGAAGTTGCTTTGGACAGTAAATACATAGTGCAGAACAGACCAATCCCCCACCCTGAGCAAGTTTACATTCTACAAAAGGGAACAGAAAATTAACAAACAGGCATATCAAATATCAAATGGTTGTAAGCACTAGAAAAAAAATAAAGCACAATAAAGAGAGGCGGCATAATTGCCTGTGGGAGAACTACTTAAAACAGGGCAATCGCTTTGTAAGAATTGGCAATAAGATATTTGAATGACATGAGGGTGCAAACTGTGAAGGGTTTTAGGGTAAGAGAGTTTTAGAAAAATGGGTAAATAAGTGCTGACACTCTTATGAAAACAGCTTGGTGTGTTGGAAACAGAGGCTGAAGGAAGATTGAAAGGGATAGCATGGTAGGAGATGGGATGGGGGCTTCATGTAGGAGGGTTGAAAATGTAAAAAGGATGGAGATAGCTAGTAAAAACTGAGAGAAAATGTGAACTTTACTATCATCTGGAAGGAACATTGAGATTTGCGGAGAGAGAGAGATGGGAGAGAGAGGGAGAGAGAGTTGGGAATGGGAGGGGGAGGCGGGGAGAGGCTCTATGATGAGAGAAATATGAAAAAGTAAATAAATAAAACACACTTATGAAAATATTAATGGTGGCTCCGGATGAGGTGGCTCACACTGGTAATCTCAGCACTTTGGGAGGCCGAGGCAGGCAGAGCACTTGAGCCCAGGAGTTTGAAACCAGCCTGAGTAACATGGCAAAACCCTGTCTCTTCTAAAAACACAAAAATTAACTGGGCATGGTGGCAGGCACCTGTAATCCCAGTTATTCAGGAGGCCAAGGGAGGAGAATTGCTTAAACTCAGGACTCAGAGGATGCAGTAGGCCAAGATAGTGCCATTGCACTCCAGCCTGGGTGACAGAGCGAGACTATCTCAGAAATAAATAAATAATAAAAATAATAAAATATTAAGGGAGCTAGGGTCATAATGTGAATTATATTAGGACTGTGAAAGAAAGGAATAATTTAGAAATAAGCTACCATTTAATGGCTGTTTATCTTGACAATAGTAAGAAGGATAATTTGAAATGATGACCACCTGAGATAACATTATCTTAATCAAGCTATGAGTCAAAAGCAGCCAGAAGATGATGTATGAGCCAGAGTATCTGATTTAACTCAGAGAAAACTAAATCTCACTGGATTTGCACAATTCATTTGTTTCTTGCTCACATCACAGAAGAAACAGACCTTCATGGGGACGCTGCTTCACAGGGTAATCTGTGCTTCCAGGATCCTTCCAGATTGTAGCTTCACCCACTTGAAGGCCTTGAATTCCTCCCTTTCAGCCAACTGATAGAAAGAGCATGGCCTGGGACATTGGAGGATGTTTATCGTGTAGTCCAGGAAGAGCAGCAGTTCACTTCATATTCTTTAAACTGGATTTAAGTGTTGAAGCCACACATCACTAAAAATGTCTGGAAAATGCAGTCCATTTGTGCTACCAGGAAAAATCAAACAAAAAAAACAGCAGAGAAAATACAGTCAGAGATAGGTATACACATTAGACATGAGTAAGTAGCACAAAGAAAATGTAGTTGAAAGAATATAAATATTAAAAAGAACATAACAGCATATACAAAATAAGTGACAGAAAACATAAATATACAATATAGCCAATATTTCTCTTATTTTAATATTTCTATTATAATAAATACAAAAAAGTCATCATTATAAAATAATTTTGACCATCATTAGGGCAAAGTATAATAAAATGGTCTTACTTTTATTAAAGTATTAACTTTTGAATTGAATTTTGTATTTTCTGATTTCCTATTACTTCATAGAGTACATCAGTGTAGATCATGACATTTGGATAATATGTTTATTTTTAATCACTGATTTTTTTCTATGTTCCCTAACTGAATAATACTGTTACATTATGTCTTCATTCTAAAACACAATATGTGTATTCATCTGTGTGATTTTTATTTATTGAAAAACTTTGTTTCTTACCAATTAGAAGCAAAGAAAACTGAAGTTGAGAAGTCTTTTCTTTTAATTTAAAGCAGAGATATCATGAAAACAGCAATTTGGCATCTGAAACTATTGAGAAGCATCAATGAAAGCAGGATTTTTAAAATATATAATAATACTCTTTCCAGGTAATGCAATGGTGTTAAGTACAATAATGATGTTAAAATCACATATGGCCTTACAAATTTGACCAGTGGACAGTGCTCTATAATGACCCATGAAAAATTAAGTTTCTTGTGCCCTAAACATAATTCATCATAGTAATAGCCACAGGAATGGTAACTATAATAAAGCAATTCTACTTTAAAAAATTGTCTTTGACATAGAAGTCTATTCTCAAACATACCATGCATTAGGTAGCAGCAATCCTTCTAATCTAGAAGACACAATACAGAATTACTGTTGATTGCCTTCAAGAATACCTGTAATTAAACCTAGCCCAGTAAAATAACTATTGGTTTTGCATCTTCTGTCTCTCTCATATTCATACACACTCACTTTCTCTCTCTCTCAATTACAAGACACAAGTACACTATTTTCTAATGATTAAAATATGATTTTATCTATCATTAGTAAGTTGTAATATAGATTTGTTTTAATGATAATGTTCATCTAATGCAGTGCTTTTTAAAAGTATGTATTTTCTTTATATACTACCATAAGAATTTAAAATAAAATAAGTGTTCTCAAAAAGTTTCCAGGTTGATGATTAAATTGTTAACGGTTTAAAGTAGCTAAAACATTGAAATTTTGATTCTTTTAAATACTGGTATTTTTAAATGGACATATTATGTTAGTCCTTTAATTAGATCCAGTGGAATTAAATATCCATGACTCGATACACAGCACCAAAGATTTAAAAGAAACACCAGAGCTGCACATGTTTGTTTTCATCTTTAGATCATAATAAACCCCCAATTCCTCCACAGGATTTTATTTGAATGTATATAATACACTTAAATATTTTGTTTAAAGTCTTTCAACGACTATGATACAAAATATGTGTTTAAATTTAAAATATTTTTTAAAATTTCCTAGGAGCATAAGTTAGTAAAATGTTAAAAGTTTTAAAAAATGTTATTCTAGCTTGACATACCTTTCCTATTATATATAAATGTAACATATGGTTGATCAAAGATCTTCTATCATGCATTCTTAGATAAATTTTATTTATTATGATAACAGTACAGAGTTCAACATCCATTCCATTTCTTTATGAAAAAAATAGTTCTGAGCATGAAGAAACTATATTCATATAAGTAAATAGATAGAACAAATATATTTGTCATAAGCACATAACCGAATCCTTAAACACTGAGTTTTATGCCAAAACTCGTACACTGATTTCCCATTAAAACTTGTTTAATGATCTGTCTCTGACAAGACTGTTAAATCACTAAATTTGGTTCACCTTCAATTTTGTCAAAAAGTATGATTTAGAAAACACCTGAAACATTTGTTATCTAGTCATCAGAATCATTCATTTTCCCAATTCTGACATCAATATCTAGTTTCTCCTGTGTGCATCTGTGTGAATGTGTGTGTGTGTGTGTGTGTGTGTGTGTGTAAAACAGCTTGGCATAATACAAAGTAATAAGCCATAGAATAGATGAGAAGTATTGCTTTTTGGTATAAAGTTGTGTAGTATGGGAATAATCTTAATTGAGGAAGAGGAGGTAGGAAAGAAGTTGCTGGACTCAGAAACCTTATCAGTCTTAGAATATATAGAAAATTGAGGATTGGAAAATTAATTTCCTTAAAACCATCTGTGCTTTTATCTTATAACCCCAGGGTATGTTTACCCTAGTTAGAAGACAACTGGTCTAAGGAAGCTCTTTGCAAATCCTTTGGAGGGTTTGAATATACAGACACTGGTTCCCTGCTTAGCCCCTTTTTGAGTGGTCACATGTCACAGATGGCATGCAATGTGTCCTGTGTAAAGTGTAGAAGCTCCACATCCTGGAGAAACTGATGGTGTCATGCTTAATCTTTTGTTTGCATAAGAATTTGGTGACTTCTTGAAGTATGCAAGTGCATAGTTGAGTATACTTACACACTATGATTTATGGTTTTAATTAACCAAATTCACAAACTATACAAGTGGCTTACAAATATTTCTGTCAAATAAACGTGTATTAAAGACAATATAAGATTAATAATCCACATATAAGTAACCAACAAAAAAATTGCATCACTGGTATTTATTAACCAGATTCAATATTTTTGTAGGCCACACTATAAGACGAGAGCGATGACAGTCTAAATTGAAAGAACAAGAGGTCAGCCAGATTTTCCTAAGTCATCAAAAAGATCATTTGAAGTATAAATGCACACATTAATTAAAATAATTTTCAATAATTGTTAACTCATCTGTATTTTGCAATGATTCACAATACATATAATTCATTAGTAAAGAAGCAGAATTACCTCCTTCATATGTAACCAAAAAAACTTTTTGTGTTATCAAAAAACTGTGGGGCAATTGGTCTATAGAACAAGGTTGTGTTAACTTTTCCATATGATAGAAGGAACAGTAGGTCACTAACTGCCTGTCTAGAAATTTATCACATTATTTCCTCTCTAAATATGGCACTAAATAAGAAAAGAGAAGAATCAGTGAGGTTTGGGGACAGTCTACTATTAATGATGCTTATAATAATGTAGTCAATATAGTTATTACTTGTGTAGATGTTATAAATGATATTATAATTTTCATAATAGTTTATTTGTACGTAATTAATGAAGTGCTTTTTAAAGCAATATAATATAAAGGTTGGGAAAAATTATGCAATTAGACACAATTTTCTTTTAGAATGAGTGGTTTCCCAGCAACATTCTTAGTCAATGTAAATTCCAATAGAACTTCCAAAATATTTGAGTTGTGGACTGAACACATTTTGTTTCAAGCAGGCATTAACACAGAGAAGTGGAGGACCGCAGAAACAAGAAATCTTCCCCAGTTTCACAAGCTGGCCACAGACATCTTCATCAATTTTTCACAAATACAGATCTAGCATTAAAGATTTTATGTGTGTGTCCTATAGGGCTCGGTAGGCATTCTGTTTAGTAATAGTATTGCCATTAATTTATATGCTTTAGGTCAATGAACATTGAACGACGAATATTTTCCTTCCACTGCAAACCAAATTATAGACACTTGCTTCCTAAAAGATGCATGACTTGAAATACCATTGTGTTCCCGTGTAATCAGTGGGCACCTAAAATGTCTTTCAATTGAGTTCCTTATTTCAGATACGAGAACTGCAATCCAGGCAGAAAGGATACAAAAAGAGTGTAATACAACTCAAAGCAAAATTCACATAACTTATAACACTTAAATACCTGAAAAAGAACTGGAATAAATAGATTTGTCTTCACTAACTAGCAATTCCCAAGCTAGGGCAGATGTGAGGATGCCGGACCATAAGGCATGATGACACTGAAACCAACTAAAAAACAAAGAAACAATCCAGCTCCATAAAAAGCTATAGGAAAGAATTGTAAAAATTGTGAAAACGGCTCTTCATCAGGTATTGAGCTTATTCAGCCACACTTGCAAACACAATTATAGCAATTTTACCAGTAGTTGTGTGCAAATTTGAATACCAATTATATATATTATACAGTATTATTAAAAATGTAATGTATGTCTCTCTAAAATATATTAACTAAAGCTGCTTTTTGCTTCAGTAAAATAGTGAAACTGATTTCAATGGCTTATAACTCAAACAAGGTTTGTTTTTTGCTTTTGAATTTAGACTTCTAATTGAAATTGACACCTAGGATACCATCAAACTTTTTCATGAAGCTAGAAGAAAAAATGTATTCTACTAAGAGAAAAGAAAAAAACATAATAAACCCAGACTCAAATTTAATCCTTGATATTAGAGCAACCTCCATGATTTCCTTAAGGTAATGATAAAAATGTAAAGCAGTTTGTCTGAAATTATGTCTTCTTTCCCAATTTTCCCACCATTCTAAAACAGAACTTGTAAAAGACTGTTTGTAAGAATGTGGGAAAGACCAGAAAATGGGGGGAAACCCATTCATGTGTGTATTTATATTAATAAATGTTTTATTTTGATATAATATTGTGTTGCTAGACTAAAAAGATGTATGTCTGCTAAATGCCAAAATACTCAAAATTCAGCACTTTATTTTCAGTATTTCAGAAGTTAATATACCATGATCTTACAGCTTGAAAATATTCCTAACACATTGAAGGATGTATGACTTAGTTTTAATTCTAAAATATGGTGGATATAACACAATTACAAAGTATGAAAATTTATGAAACGTTACCTGCTTATGAATTGTGAGACAGATTAATATTAAAAGCATTTTAGCTCAATTCATAAATATAATTTGAATACATAACACATTTCAGATTATTCTAGAAATGACAATGTCAACGAATATGACTAGCACATGTTTTCTGCCACTGAAGACTTCACGAAGTAAAGG